CCGAGCGTCTCCCCACGGGCTTCCCGGTCGCGCGTAGGAAAACGTGTGCTTAGGCGTTTGTCGGGCTGTGCTGTTTTATCATCGCCTTTTAGGAGTCATTGACATATTTTGGAGATAAGTCCTGTTTCTTTCATATAGACAAATAAAATGAATTATACCCTCTAAATAAAACAGGTTTTCCATCTAGATTGAGCCTGATCAATGACGGATTCGGATCTCTTTTTTGAAGACGTTTTCTACCCTGGCACAGACACCTCGTTATGGAGCCGCAGAATCTGACACTGGGACGTGCCGGTTCCCCGGGGCCCCTGAAACAAAGCACCACGACACGCACCGTCCCGCAGGCTGGCGGCCAGAAGTCCAAGGTCGCGGCACCGGCCGGCCGCGCTGCTCTCGTGGGCACGGCCGTCGGCGTCCCTCGGCGTGTCGACTCACCCCCGTCCGCCTTCACGTCCACCCGGTGGCCTCCTGTACGTGCATCTCCACGTCCGATGTCTTCCTTTTACAGGGTCACCGGTCCTATAGGATCAGCACCCGCCCTAACGACGTCATCTTTCCTAATTTCATCGGCCATGAGCCTGGGTCCAAATGGCGCCACAGGCACAGGTGCTGTGCTTGTCCCCAAGAGAAGAAGAGCGGAAGGCGTCGGCCACCCGCAGCCGAACACCGGCATGGACGGAGGGTTTGCACCGGGGAGAGGTGACGGGACGGAGAAGGACCACGCGCTGGTGTCGGGCACGGTCGGCGACAAAACACCAATAGCCCACGGTCGAACTCACGGATGAGCGGAATAGTAAACGGGAAGGAAAGAGAAATGTGGCAGTCGATGGGCACGGGGCACGGGGACCAGGCAGAGGGACAGAAGCCAGGGCACTTTCGGAAGACAGCTGTCCTTAAGGCTCAGGGTTCGGTGGCTACAAGCTCTGCAGCTCACGGTTCGGTTCCACGCTCCGCGAGAGGCCCATGCAATCGTTTATGACACGCACCAGCTCCTACACCGAGACGCCTCCTCATCCAGGCTGACCGGCCGTCCAGGACGGCCGCGTTCCCCCTGGACTATTAGTTCCTTTTGACGAGATTCTGGGGCCTTCTTTCCGATGGACTGTATATGTTTAAAACAGGGCTCCTTTGCACTTATGTACATAAGACTTGAACATTTATGACACAGCCAAAAAAATCCCCCCAACCAAAGAAATAATAATGAAATAATAATTATAAGAAGCATGAAGTAATAAAAGGCAAATGTGATTATTTTTTTAAATATTTTAGCCTACAATTAATTTTTTGAAATGCAATTTCGAAAGCCATCCCTACAAATCCGAACATTTGCTCGATCATCTGGTTGGTTGGCAAGAGCTGCTGGATGAACCAGGGAGGCCCGGAGTCTGGGCCGCGCCTGTCACTCCGCAGAGAGATGTCTGTGAACACATGGGAGAAACGCCGGGGAGAAGGTTCAGCTAGAAAATGCAGACCGAGATGCTGATGCACGACGCCGATGCACTTCATGAGTCCCGACGGCGTCCTTCGAGATGTGTCAGAGCCCGTGTGACTTCTCCCTCGGCTGACCCGCCCTCGGGGGACGTCGCTCTGTGAGGCAGGGCCACTCTCCAAGGCCCGGTGCCGCGATGACCCAGCCTTCAACCTGCCTCCCCGGCTTCCGTGGCTCGGCAGGAAGGAATGCAGGAAGCCTGCGTTTTATTTCTGTCTCTTTCTCTTACACCCCCAACCCTCTCTGGGACCTAAGAATACAATCTATAGGGTCGTTTTAGATTTCAGAATGAGATCCTCGCCTAGAAGAAAGCTTGTTGCATACAACAGATTTTCAGATCAAAGTAATACATGGAAAACACGAAACATCGTCTCCCCCGTGGAGACACACCGCCGACCCTCTGCCTGACCCTCATTTCTCCTAAATTTACTCGCTGGGCATTTTTAACATGAGAATTTATCTTGTTTGTGGTTGAGAATTAAAGGACAATCAGTTTGACATTTAGAAATGAGTATTCAACCCTATCTTCATATTGAACCACTTGACATGCTATTTAAAATATATTGATTTCTAGTTTCCTTCCCAGAAATTGGGATATGTCTGTTTGGGGTATGGCCTGGGACTTGATATATTTTTTAAAACTCCCCAAATAATTCACCATGGAGCTAGGTCTCTCAAGTCAAAATTCCAATTTTCTTAAGTTATGAAACAAGTCTCTCTTTAATCCTTAACCCATACTCTACGATCTCCTCCAAAAAATAAAAGTAAACATTTCCTGACTCATTCCATGAGGTTTCTTTCCGCTAATACCAAAACCTGAAAAACACATTTCGAGGAAAGAAAACTATAGTCCAACAAGTTTTATGAACATTGACGCAAAACTACTCAACGAGATATTGTCGAATTAAATCCAACAACGTAGAAAAACAACTACACATCCCGAGCAAGTGAGATTTATTCCAGGTGCGCAAGCCTGGCTCAACCTTAAAAAAAAAAAAAATCAATCGATGTAATCCACTGTATCGACAGGCTAAAGAAGAAAAACCACAAGATCGTTTTAATTGATGGAGAAAAAGGATTCGAGAAAATCCAAATCTAATTTACTATAAAAACTCTCAGCAAATTAAGAGAGGAGAACATTCCTGACTTGATAGAGAAAACCTCTAAAACCTTACAGTCATCATACTTAATAACGAGGGACTGGATATGCACCCCTCAGAACGGGAATAAGAAGGTCCTGCCGCATTACTACCACCTGTCAATACACAAAAGTCAAGTGCTTTCCTACATACCAGAAATGAACTATTTGAATTTGAAGTTTAAGAATCAGTACCATTTACGATAGCACCAATACATGAACTGCTCAGTTATAAATCTCACGGAATACCGTACAGGTTCAGTATGTATCAAACTACAGTAACTACTAAAACAAGATCTAAATAAACAGCTACTGTGTGTTCGTGGGCTGGAAGCTTCGATACTGGTAAAATCTGTGATCAAAGGCATTAAGCAGGACTCCGACTTGCCCCTCACCCGTCCTATGTTAGCAAAAGAAAGTTCCCAGAGTTAAGCCGGTGGACTTCCGCTGAGAGGTCATTCGTTGGAACTGAGGTACACGCCTTGAGAACAGATTTGAACATGTACGGTGGCGTAAAGGCTCCTCGATTGTAGTTGGAAATTCTTAATGACCGGGAAAGAAGAGGAACGATATTCTCCGTCACGTTTGGCATTCTTCTAAGCCACACGAATTTCCACATGCTCTCTTTTGCAAAAGCTGGAGTTGGTTGTCTGTTATGTGCATCTGAAATTGTGTGAGCTAGTACAAACCGAGTTCTATTTTTTTATTTGCGTCTGTCCTTGGAAATCAAAATGATGAGTGTGCTAACTACAGACCACTCAGCCCTTCAGAGAAAACAATCGTCTCTCACTGCCAACTATTCCTACGTCTGTGTTACTGTACATCTTTATAGACGATACAATCACATCTACTTAACGATATTTTACAATGCAAAGGTTATTTTTCCTGCCCTGGTCTATGCATATCACAAGTACACAGGTAAATAAAATGCAGTTCCAGTCAAGACACAGCTCATTGCCTACCGTGGACCAGACACTCAGCCGTGCACTGGACGCGCTGGCCTTTGGGAGTGCTCAGCCTACAACGTGCACAAAAGAACTATCACTTACTAAGCGAGGTCCTGTGCCGGAAGGATATTGAGCTCAGAAGGAACAGACAGAGATCCAGGAAAAGAAAAACACAGAAAAAGTTTCCTGGAAGAGACGCCTTGGGTAAAAATATGCATCCTGATGGTTGGCCGTGTGCTTCTTCTTGCTATAACTTTACCCAGATAGGAACGGACGCTGACCGAGGTGGACGGCTTGCTCTTGGGTGGCGCTGTCTGTTTATAACGGAGCCTGACGTGGAGCGTTTATCTCGAGCTGGGTGGTGCATCAAGCATCACCGCTGGGTTGAACCAGGAATGCAGCTGGGGCCCCCGCATATTACACAGTTTGTTTTCTAAACAAATCTGGTTAAAGACAACATCAAAGAGGTTTTTAGGGAAAAAGAACTTGGGGGAAATAAATTCGGTCCAGCTGACGTGAAAGTCGACTTCTGTCAAACCAAACAGGATGTGAACGTTTCTTGCCTGTTACGTATTAGTGAGGAATCTGTCCAAACAGTAAAAAATAAAATCCCACAGTCATTAAATCAAAGTGATTAGAACT